CTACCCATGCAACCATGTCGTTTTCCAGACAAAAAAAAATAGTAGAATGTATAGATTAATCAAATGATTCGAATGTTTAATTACAGAATAATTATTACATACGTATATTATAATTAATTACTGAAATATTAATGGGTATATTAAAACTGCCTAATTATAAAATTTGTTTAAATGGAAAATCGATCACCTGCCACAGTGCCACATGATTATTATTCTGTTCTTATTTCTTTGCAATTGTATTATCACGACCTGATAGAAGAGCCCGAGCAAGTTTAAGTTTTCTAATTAAATTACTCACAGGTAATTATACTCTAAAAATCTCCTTGGTTATACGTCAATTTCAAAGTCCCTTCTTTTTTATAGCAAAATGACTATCCACTCTATGTTCTAATATATACCACCTAACTGAGCCCCTTACAAGGATGTGTGGATTGCCAATGTATAGAGCCACCTTTATCTTCTACATAACTCTACACATTTATTGACTAATATTTAAATGTTACTATTGAATGTAACTTTCTACCATAGTCTATACGATTGATTAAATAAATAAAATGTATAACTTATAAAATCTAGAACATTAACCTAAGGCCCCTAGGATAATCTTAGCCTTGGGGTCCTGTTCCTTTGCACCTCCTGTTGCCCCGCTAAATTCAGCACCGATAATACCCGTAAACTGTATAGTTATTTCAATAGTTGATACCCTGTCAATAGGTACCGGCAATAATAAGGATAATCGAATATCATGTAATATAATTATTTTATTTTATTATTTATTACTGTATTAAAAATGTATAGTTTTTAATTGAAACTTCTCTTGGCAATGGTAGCGTATGTTGGATTCATGGGCCCATGAATGGTTGCGACCAAAAAGCGTTACAGCCGTGGCTCACTCGAACCTAAGGATTCCATGGTAATAATTAATATTAATGTATTTCACATTTTTCTTTTTACGTACCTATAATTATAAATTAATTTCAATTGAAAATTTTATTTTTTTAATTCAAACTCACTATTTGACCGCGATGGTCGATATAACCTTTTTCGTGTCCTCTGTAAAGAAGTTTCACTTAATTTTCGCGTACTATGCAACACTCAATTTTCATTTTTATCTCAGAGATAAATATAATAATATAATACATTATATTATTAAGCTCTATTAATGTATAATTAAAGAGTAACCAAGTCAATAAGATGGTTAATATTCAAATTGTGGATATGTATTTGGCATAGGATTGCTAATTGGTATCAAAAGCGAACGACAGTGCTATGTAGACGTACATCAAATTATATTTGGAGCATGTTAGAACCATAGACCTATATATTTTAATATTATAACATGAATTTATACAATTACAATTAGGTATGCGAGTATTTAACACCCAACAGTGTTTTTCGTCGTACAAGATAATAGTGTCATTGGTGAATGTCGAGTGTAAAAATATGAACCCATCCATGTTTGTGTTTAGTTACGTCCGTCTGATACAGTTGTTTACCATACGTTACAGATTATATTATTATATTAACTCTTATTCGTCCGGTGGCACATATTTAAACTAAAAAATGTGCCTGGGAATATATTTTATGCCGCCACTCACCTCCCATCACCGAATAACATTAATACGACACAGTGCAATAGTATTCTCATCTAGACCACACAATCCGCTCCTAAAATGTGTTGTTTGGGAGACATTTTACTCCTTTTTCCATCCCCCTAAATTTTCCACTGTTCGTCTATAATGACGAGTCACTGTAAAGGTATCATATTATAATACATATCATATTATTATTGTATAATAATAATATAATATGGTATAAGTTGGTGCAGGGTACATGGTATTTAAATTGCATACACAACACGCCGTCTTGTAAAAAATCTTATTTCGTACCAATAACATATTAGGTACTATAATTGTTATTATTATTTTTCACTTTTATATTATACGACTGAAGGATTTATACACCAATTTCTAATGTCAAATTTTAATTTTTTAAATCTTAACTTGACTTATCATTATACTTTTAATAATATACGTAAAAAGAATATTAAAATTTATAATTTATAATTATAATTGGTTTTTCCTTACTAGTGACTGCCTCACGTTATTTTTTAAATTAAATCTGTTATATGATACGAATACAGAAACATCAGAATATAAAGAACCTATGTATAATGCGTAGGGTAGGTACTTAAGTTTGTGTTTGTGCTTATTGCAATAGTACACATCTCGAAGTATTAACGATAGTCATTTTAAAATTAATTCGCGTGCTAAAAAAATTAACGACCTCACTTTTAGATGTGGTTAGGTTTTTATGAATTTGTCGTTTATTTACGAAACAAAGTTTACTCTTATAAAAAATGGTGATACAATGTAAGATGTACTACCAAACGATAGTTGTAAATTATAATTATGTTTTCATTGGGCTTAGTCCGTTTGAATAAATTAATTTAATACGCAAAATATTATACCCATGATTGAAATACACAAAGCTATTGCATAACATACACCAATTTTCAATCAAATATTTGATGGTAAAACTAAAAATGGCAGCCAAAAGGGAGCCAATTATATAATAAAGTACATATGCTCGGGAATTTTAAATTTGTTAGCTTTTGCCAGCGTATTTCTTATGGTAAGAAAAATTAATATTTGTGATATCCCTTTACACAGCATGTCCCGTGGCCTGTATATTTCAACCATGGTCCATGATTATAACGAAGTTAAGCGGATGGAAGTATTTATCGAACAGTAGCTTTTATAACCGACGGCCACTTTCAAATTTGGTCAGTACTGTAGGGTAAGTCACAATATAATATTGTATAATATTTTACGGTGAACAAATAAAAAGTTAGATCTGGTTTTGGGTTACAATTGTCGGTCCGATTTATATGCATACGTATAGTATTTATAGACTATATACATTTATAAAGTTATAACACAAGAGGTGTGAGTTGAGTTTAATTTTAATTTTAAAGTGTATTATATAGTAGCCAAACTGAGTCGAATTTCCAAATGAAATATTTAAAATATAATAAAATATAGTATTAATAATGATTTCCATACTGTATAAGGAACATAAAAGCAACGCTCTCTATTTCATCACGTCTGAACTATACGCGCGATATCATTTGAAACATTATAAGTTATAACCGAGGTTAAAATACTTATAAATTACAATAGTTACAGCATTGTTCTATTCGTTAAATTTTTGTGTCGAAACGCAAACGTCCTTATTATTATAATATCTTCCCACTTTCTCCGGCTCTCGTCGTTATATACATAATATATAATAGGCTTGCGCAGATGATGAGTCAAGATTAAACAAATAGAACTGTTTTAGAGGTCAACCATAATTGTTAAATAATTGTTGGGAAAGATAAGGCGACTTCAGCAAACTGTTTATAATATATATAATTAAAAGCCTATTTGAATATAGATTATAGAGAACAGCGACTACATTTATTTTCTTTCAATAAACCTATACTCTCGAGGGAAGTCCTTCGTACACATAATTTACTAGAATACTAGAGTCAGTGTCGAACATAAAAGCAACGCTCTCTATTTCATCACGTCTGAACTATACGCGCGATATCATTTGAAACATTATAAGTTATAACCGAGGTTAAAATACTTATAAATTACAATAGTTACAGCATTGTTCTATTCGTTAAATTTTTGTGTCGAAACGCAAACGTCCTTATTATTATAATATCTTCCCACTTTCTCCGGCTCTCGTCGTTATATACATAATATATAATAGGCTTGCGCAGATGATGAGTCAAGATTAAACAAATAGAACTGTTTTAGAGGTCAACCATAATTGTTAAATAATTGTTGGGAAAGATAAGGCGACTTCAGCAAACTGTTTATAATATATATAATTAAAAGCCTATTTGAATATAGATTATAGAGAACAGCGACTACATTTATTTTCTTTCAATAAACCTATACTCTCGAGAGAAGTCCTTCGTACACATAATTTACTAGAATACTAGAGTACTTATAATATGCACATCTACAGTATCTACTAAATGAGTTTTGATACAAGGCAATTTCGACAGAATTTTGAATAATATATACCTATATATTATAGGCATATAATAACATACAAATTGTCAACTGAAATAATAAGTTAAAAGTGCGTGTTCAAATAGTTTACAAGTGGTATTGTGCCAGTTTATTATCTTCGGTTGTAACTTGTTGCATTGCAACCGAAATATATTATAAAAAAAACTTTTTCAGACTGTTTAATAATACCTATTATGACAGGATGGGTATATTATATAGTACAATGTAGGAATTCAAAATATTTTCACACAATCAAACTGTAGCTGCAGTATATTTGTATACAGGACAAAACATCATCTGTATATAGCATAGATCGTCTGTCATTGGTTTATGTTAAATAACTTAAAATATGAGACAAATGTTTCATCACTTGTAAAAAAATCTGACTTTTTATGAAAGATTAAAAAAAATAATAATAAAGAAGGTATAACTGGCGTTGACCTGTGTGTTGGGTGAACGTCTATGTGGTTTGCCTATTTATAATAATTATGCCGACCGATATGGCCCGAAAACTCTTATCTCAGTGGGACTTTTTTTGCTCTCGTCAAAATGACTCGTGCGCGGTCTCGTCTTTCTCCAAATGTTTGATAATAAATAAACGTTTGTAGACACTTTATACTGTACCCAGTGTCAGTATATTTTACTGTGGCAGGAAGGTCAGGTGCTATTGTACTAATCATGCTACCCCTTCTCCCAGTCATGTATTCTAACTGCGCCATTACACTGTCCATCCAATAGTGACAGGTCAAATACAAACATTTAACACTATGATAGGCGCCAAATAGATTTTAGCTTGTACTTTGGACATTAAAGTAATTATTATCTACAGAGTATATATATAATAGTGTTATAGTGAATTTGTTCGAATCGGAGAATCAATACAGTATAAACGCTAAAAAATTAATGTACTTGGCAATTCAAATTAAATCCAAGGTATGGCCGTGTAGTAATTTACCAAGTGACTATAGTGAGTAAAATAATACATATAAATAATTATAATTATGACTTAAAAGTTATTGGTATAGTATGTAAATATATCTAGCCAATTGGTGACATATGATAGTGATCTAATATTATATCAAAACTCAAGAGCTATAAACATGAATAAAAATGAATCATTCAATACTAATAAGAATAATCTGGGAAATAAAAAATAGATGGGTTGCCTGCCGTTAAAAAAACAAAAGCAGATAATGGTTTGTGGATTTACCAACAATAACGTATAATGGTGGACAAATTAAGGGCAATATATTATAACGTATCAAAATTGCATTAATATTATATTAGATATCATTCCCGAACTCTCAGCTTCAATTCACCCAAAGTTCCATTTTCAATGATTAGATCGATATAAACTAGCTCGCACTTATTATACTCTCTAAAAATGATATTCTCTTTTTTTGTAAAATATGTGCGGTGTAAATGACCAACAACTTGTTAAGCTTGTTTTCGGTGTTTAATTATTATGCAAAGGCTGCGGCGAAAAATTATGCAAATATGTATAATTTAATTTGCTAATTTTGCCGTATTATTCAATTAATTATTATAATCATATTATGCAACGTAATATAACAGTTTTAAACTGTACTTAATACAATAATACCTATGTATATTATCTATTGACATTTTGTGACCGTAGTGTACACATCAGTAACACACTAACACCGTAATTTTCTCATGAAAACAAATCATTTTTTAAGTAGGTGGTAAGAGAAAAGAATTTACCAAAGAAATTATATAACATTATATTATAACTATATTATAATTCATGACTTAAAATGAAAAATACCCATATCACTCCCACTACCCACCCACCAGAAAATGCTCCTTCCTGTAATTACATCACTTTATGCATGTATATATAGATATCTTTCATTTTTCAAACAACGAGCTCGTTGTGTCGCCCTGAGTATTGTATAATATAATATTTATATTAGGTGAAATGCAAAAATAAACAACATCAACAACATTTAAACTTTTCAAAATATTTAGCTATGAAAATTAATTAATATTCCCCTCCAAGCACCATATACGTCTCCAGAAGACCAAATCCGTATAATTCACCCCACTTTCAAATTAGAAAACTGTTCACGAAGAAGCTAAACTATTTTACAAACACTTATTATAGTCGTGTTATCTCTCCAATCCTAATTATAATACACTTGTCAAGAACCTTGCTATCTCCATAAATCCTGGTAATCCTGCGGACGACTCAAACATAAAATGTGTCGTGATCTGATATAGACACATAATATTAATTACCAATTACAAATTATAGTAAAATTTAAATTTAAAAAAATCAATTTAACCTCAAGGTTTGACCACGTATGTATTTTTTTGTTCTATATTTAATGCATCATGTAAATACTATTCCTAGTATCCCATATTCTCATTTAATTTATGTAATTGGAAACATTTCTTATGAAAATTAAACATATTAAAACACACATATTAATATATTCTACCACACACGAATGAAATAAAATATGATCACAGGAAAGCCGTTATTCATTTATTACTCACATAAATTCGTCACATATAATATTGGATATTGCAACATGTACTACACTGTAATAATGATGATAAAATGTAATATTGTCATAAAGAAGGAATTTATCGATTCTACTGATAGCTACTGTTCAATGTTCATAATATACCCAAATATCTATCGATTTCGCTAAGCTTTAAATTTATAAAAATCGTAGAAAGTAGATTTATAAGCTTGATGCCGAATTAACATTTTAATAAATTAATGAATTTGAACACAAGTTACAATGATTTTATATTATATTTTTTAGTATCAAAATTATTTAAATATGGTAATTTTGTACTGTCTTAATTTACCTATGTAAAGTTTAGGGCAAATATAAATAATTCAAAATAACAATAAGAATTTTAAAAAAATAAAAATATGTACCTACTTACTTTTGATAATATTGGGACACATATATTAAATATTTGAATTTAGAAATATTAAATGCTAAATAGTACTAAATATTTTATCGAATTTAAGACTAAGCGGAATCAATAGGTATTTACTACTTGATACAAACAGTATATATTATGTATTATAGCCGTTTGAATCGATCCATGAATATAAATGCAACTAAATGCAATAAATATCTAACTAAAAACATTTTTAAGTTCCTACTTTGTTTCACGTTAATCCCAATGACATAGTCGACAGACGAACAAAAAAAAAAACAAGCGATCTGTATGAAAAACTCGGAGTAATAAATTAATCCTATAATAATATTATATTGTGTTCCCCTTTCATCGTTTATAGTGACGTGTTTTATTAATAGCGCGGTGACACAAATATTAAGCGTGTAGTTAGATCATTTGTGTATTAATAATCTTTGTCGTATTATTATTGGTTCACATTGTAAAAGGATCGCACAGTGATTTTCCAAAACCTCTGAAATCCATTCGGAAAAATATCCAGATATGTTGTGAATCATTCATCGCGTCTGAAATGCTTGGAAACCACCAAACTTATTATTATTATTTTAATCACGCCGTCGGATGGACAGTGTATTTAAGCCAGCGAATAAACGATCGATTGACGTCTACCGTAAATATAATATAAATCATGATAATACGGTACTATATGGACTATGGCTGTCGAACAATCTTAAACCGCTATTATTTATTTTAATATCGTATAATTAATATAATTGTACATTTGCAGTGATTAGTGGTTAGGTAAGCCGTAAGTCACGGGTGAGATGCCGCGAAACTAATAATGCTGTGAGCATTGTATTAACCTTCTGCACTCCTTGCAGTGTATTTATGGTATTATATACTATTAATTTCAATATTATGGAGTGCGCATTTTGCTAAATTTTTCGACTAAAAAATATCAGAATTTCATACTTTTTGATTAGACAGTAGAAAAAGAGTTGCTCAAACTATATGTGTGGGATTAAAGTTTTGGACGACATTACAAATGTTTATTGCGGCTTTATCAAATCACCTCTTCACATGGTGGAGTATTTACGATTTTTTTTTTTGTAGTATTGATGAATAAAAAATCTCCCTTTGTCCAGTACGACTGTTCCTATATACCTTAAGATTTACCTAAGACTTCAATAACACTCTCATACTAATCAGTTTTTACTTAGTTCTTAAAAAAAAATATATAATTAGGTACTAAATATTATTTGAGTGATTATAATATTTAAAGTTAAGAACACTAACTGTGTTTGTAAGTTTTTTTAAACGATATTTCAATTTTTCTGTAAATTATGAGCATGTTACAGTTGTATACATCATACTCATGACTTGTATATACATTTTCATCTTTAAAAAAACCTTAATTGCAATAGGCTTAAGATTATTAATTGTATGTAATGCAGCACGTACAGGGTCAGCAGAAAAGAAAATCAACAATATTGCGCTGATGTTCCCTCTTTAGTAATTTCCTTTAATATTTCCATTCATTCAATGTTTCAACTTTAAATATAGGCGACTTGAGTCACCGATTCCTATATCCACCTGTTGCGCCTTGGCTGTTGGGGCCGAGACATTTTATATTGGGGTGAGGACATGAGTAATGTATTAACTCAAGCCCCAAAGGGCACATAACTGCAGAAGATATTAAGACAATTATATGAATATGATAGTATTGTTAGTTTTTACCATTATTATTATAGTGTGGACTATGTAGTTGACTCAGTGATAGATATTATGTATGTTGATAATATTAATATGGTTTTATTTCACACATTTTCGCAACATAAACTTTTTGTCACTTCGGCCCCAATGCCCGTATAATCGTTATCGTAATACACCCCCAGGTTGCAGATGGGCTGTAACTTACGTAACTTGAACCCCCAAAGCGGCTATGGTCATACTTAATATATGGTTTTTATATTATTACTTTTATAACAAATAATTAATATAAAATAACGCGGGTATCCAAACGTCATAACTCATAACCCATAAGAGGTCCATTTCCCCAGCCCCACTAATTTAGAATTTGTTTTTTTACCATTCGTTTGCAGCTGGTTTGTAATCTCTTTTTTCGTTTGTAGATATTTAGTTTTTTTTAAGCGTTAGTCGTTGCGCAATCATGGTCTGAAGGATTCGTCACGAGACGTCGTAAACGTAACAGCCAACAGCTAATGACAAACAACAATTAAAAATAGCACTACTAATGTTATTTTTAAAAACGCCTGTGTAGATATTTTTGGCCCATCGTAGTGGGCCGCACTGGACTTCGCCACGTGCAAGGCGATGGCCATAAGCCCATAACACATAACAGTATGTCATACGTCATACTATTTGAGACCGTGGGTATTGTTATTGTGTTATTGTATGATGAAATTATAAAATTACAATCATTTATTAATTATTTTTTATGTCAAATATAACTTATAAGGTCAAATAATAATAAAATATAAAACCTATATGTCAAACCCTCAAATATGTTATCCTTGATAGTTTTTTTAACAGGTTGTTTTACTCAGAGATAATTCAAATAATCATAAAAAAAAACGATATTTACACCACGGCCGCGGCATGCTACGTGTGTAGTAGTTGGTGATTTACACGAATGCGTTTTATCCATCGCGTGCGTAAGTCTGATAGAGTCGATGGAAAACAGTTATTGTGCTGACATCCACTTCATAAAATTAATAAATATTAATTATTTCTATATAGTATATAATATGTTATATTAAAGTCAATATAATACATAGTTGTAGATAATTATTATAACTATCAACCAATGATATAGCCTAGTAGGACCGCCGCCGCACAGCAAAAACAACAAAAACGATATCGTTAATCCACAAACGACACGTTTTCCTTTTACATACCGCGTACTAAATGGTACTATTGGTACTATACGGTACTATTTACTATTTAGCATAAACCCACGCGGGTCCGCGGTCCGCCAGTAGTTACCGACGCGTCGCGACGCCGCCGTTTCGCAGCAGCTGTTCCACTCCGCTCGGTCGTCCGTACACCAAACACGAGTTGTACGCGACACACCAGTTCACAACTCCACTTCTACCACTCCAGTCGGGAGTCGTATCGTATCAGCCGTCTCGTCCGGTCGTTCGTCCGCCGTGTTCCCGTGCGCGAATCTCTCGCACTTTTTCAATCGGCCTTGGCTCGCGGCCGATATTAATGTTATTATTATTACTATTATCATCATCTTTCGACGACGACGACGACAACAACATCAAATGCCCACCACCGCGACGGCCTCTACCGACGAAGAAAAAATACCGAGAAAAACAAGAAAACTCGGAATCGCTAGCTCGCAGTCCGCAATCATAGAATAATAAAGATATCGGTGCCGCCGCCCGTCAATCGCTGGTAATCTCGTCGCCGTAATCATTTTTTTTTTTTTTGTTTATCTTCCGCTGCGTGGCGCGCGCGATGGACTGAACAGAAAGCTGTGTCTGTGCGCGCACAGCCCGCGACCACCGGCCCTCGAGAGACGCGCGTTACGTCCGAAGACACGCCGCGCCGTGGAGGGTGTCGTGTGTAAATATTTCTTTTATTTACCGTAATACCTATTTCGCCAGCAGATATTCGAAATCGTCAAAATACAATACAATATTATTGACATCAACTATAGGACTCTGTTGTACGCTGCTTTACGGTGTAGGTAGTTATCGTGTTCGAAGATCACAGCGCCTAGGTTGGACCTGTACCGTACCTATCGCCCGATAGTAATAATAGTGAGTTGTACCTGCACAGATTGTTCTGGTTCGGTCATTAAGTGAAACAATAATTGTATGACATGAAAGCTGCAAGTCCATTCGTTGCGAACAAAATGGAAACCAGATACGTTGACAACGACGAGGACAATTACTCGGATGCCAGCTCATCTCTGGCTCCCAATGGCTCTGTAGTATCGACAGTGCCTGACAGACACGGCTTCCTAGGTGGTGCCCAATACCTGAACGAATCGTAAGTGCCTCACCGTCCATAGGTTTTATGGAACTGTTATCTTTTGATATTAACCTTATGCAAATTTACCTCGGGCTCTGAACTAGCTTTAAGTAAATGGCGTATGGCTTTTTTAGTTCATAATATATTGTGATTGTTGACTCTAGTGTGTTATATTGTGGACTATAATTGATAATTTTGAGTTTCAAGCATCATTTTTTAATATTAGTGATCATTTAGATATTTTTTAATTAACAAGTCAATTAAATATTACATTTTTTTTTTTTTTGCCACTCATGGATAACAGTAATTCAAGTACATTTGGTGATATATTAAAGATAATTATCACAGAATAATTCTGTGTAATTATTGTTTATGCATCTAAAATCTATTTTAGGTAATATCTAAGTTACCACCCATAATTTCTTTTAAATTGAATTTATACATCATTGTAGATATTTAGTCACATTATGTTATAAATCATCTTTAGAATAATTTGTATTATCTAATAAATAGTAATATTATAATTGTCATGTTCATTACCTATTATTTAAGTGAAACTAATTAAAATAAGATGTGTGATGTGTTATAGATTGTTTTGTTTTGTATTGACCACACCTTAATTATTATTGTGAAATCAATGTTGGTAATCGCAGACCTCTAAATAGAATTCTTATACTTTCTTTATCATTGTGAAAGTTTCACAAAAATAACTGACTAAATGCAATAGTATAAAATATGATTAATTAATGTAATCGTATACAATTCAGTATTGTCTAGCTTATGGAGTTCGTCAACAAAAATATGAAGGTGTATAACATTTCAAATATTTCTTAACAAAACATTTTGACAGTCTCAATCTAGAAATTTTAATTTACAGTCAAAACAGACTGATAATACTATTATAAGTTATAACTGTACACTTGCAATATTGTATATTGACAATGGTTCAAATAATATTGAACACAGGAAGTTAAATCCTCTTTTGGTCATCCTAGCTATTTGGTATGCTAAAGTGTGTGCTTGCATACTTCCTGTTTGACTCAAAATTATTATGCATTTAAGGGTATTGCATGAAAACAACATTACAGCTCACTAGTTACGCTTATACATGTATAAAAGAAGTCTATTTGGTTTACTTTTAACTCCTCCCTGTTCTATGTGTGAGAACATTTTCTATACTTTCTACTGAAATCTTGAATACATGCCTACATAACGTTATCTAATTGCTGTGTGAAATTTTTATAACAAAATGTTTGATTGTAGGAAACACATGATATCAGCTAACAAAACCATAGAACGTGAACGAAAATGGCTTAATATGACTGCCAATTGGGATAAACAAATGATTAGGAGTTTTAAAAAAGTAATAACATTAAAAATAATATTGGTACCTATACAGTATATTTTAAACATTTTATCTTCAAATGACCATGTTTTATTAGGTACAAAACAGATGTAGAAAAGGAATTCCCCAGTCAATCAGACCTAGAGCTTGGTTGTACTTGACTAAAGCAAATAAATTGTTGGACCAAAAGAAAAATCTCTATTTTAAGCTGTGTGACCAACCAGGAGATCGTAAATGGATTGAAGACATAAGAAAAGATCTTCATCGACAGTTCCCATATCATGAGATGTTTGTCGACCAAGATGGAACAGGGTAAATTGTAATGAACATTTTATATTTAAATATTGTTTAACATTAGCTGTTTATTTTTTCAACAGCCAAAAAGAGTTATTCAATGTTCTCAAAGCGTATACAATATTAAATCCTGTAATTGGATATTGTCAAGCACAAGCTCCAATTGCTGCATTTCTTCTCATGCACATGCCAGCCGAACAAGCGTTTTGGTGTTTTGTAGCAATTTGTGATGATTAACTTAGTGATTACTACAGTCCAGGAATGGTAATTGAACACTTTAAGCAATAGGTACATAAAGAATGTCACTTAATTTAATATAAATCTATTTTATGTTTAGGAAACACTGATTAGAGATGGTAACATACTTTTTGCATTATTGAAAGAACGTGAGCCAAAAATTTATAAACTTTTGGTGAGTATGATCTTGTGTCATCTCTCTGTGTTAAAATCTTACATTGTAATAATGTATAATTTATATTTGTGTTAATTATTATATATTTTTTTTTACTTTTTAGAAAAAGCAAAGTATTGATCCAATCATGTATATGACTGAATGGTTTTTATGTGCTTTCACAAGAACATTGCCATGGCCCACCTTGTTGAGGTTTTGGGATATATTTTTATTTGACGGTAAATAATTTTTTAATATTCTCTGAATTCAATTTTATGTTCTCTATTAATTGTAGGCGTTAAAACATTTTTCAAAATGGGTTTAATAATGATCAAAATATCATTGCCAGAAAAATCATATTCTGATCTCAAAAAACGTTTTCCTACTATGTGTGAAACCTTAGAAGCTTTGCGGAATCCACCATTGCATATGCTTGAGGAAGAGAGAATTATTAAAAAGGTATTTTTAAAATTATATTTTATAATCTTTATTGACAAATGTATATATCATTTTTCTTTTTCTGGTCTTATAGCTCATACTATTAGAAATACCTGAAGACACGTTCAAATATTACCATATGCAACAATCCTCATTGAGACGAAAGACAAAAGAAACAAAAAAACTTCGAGAAACTGATGTATTTTGAACATTTGCAATAACTATTTTACAAAAGTTACCTTAAGGAAAACAGGTTAATAATAACAGTATAATTCTGAACTAATATATAAAATATATATTAAACTGCTCCTTTAATATTATATATTGACAAAAAAGAATTTGTATTATTATTATCAGTCTTCCATATTCATAATATTATATTTATTATTATCTTGTTGTTATATATTTTAAAATTTATGTAGAAGATTCAATTAAAATTGTTGACTAATTTTTTATTTTAATTCATTCGGTGCTCTAAGTGACTAAGTGTAAATAAAATAATTATTACTTTCTAGCCTGTATCTTTTATTGAAATAACCTTGTAGTACATATTTGAAAATGAACATTTCTCTTAAATAACTATGTCATTTATCATTAACTCTTGGCAATAACATTGTTTCAGCAGATTATATTTTGTTCAACTATAACAATTAACAGCACACTGAAACGTGCTTGCAATTGTATTTATTCTGCGTTTAGTTTTTGCTAAATAACTTGTTTATCTTATAAATCTGTAAAAATTTGATAAGGACTGGATAGTCAAAATTTTTTTATCATGTTTTACTTCAACACACTCACCAAACTGTAAATGTCCTCTGAGCACAAAATAATTTATAATATTGCTGTTCATGCTTAAGAATTTGTTTCTGTGAATAGAAAAAAATGAGTAATAGAATTCCATTAGAAATATTGTTTTTATGCATTGAGGAAATATCACAAATATTAAGTGTCTTAGTTTTTACAAATTGTATGAATGAATCTTGATTTAAGACGACATAACAACATTTGTTCGATCAGATAAATGTTATTTGAGCAATATAATATGTGAGGATTGTAAAACTGTCATGCTTTGTTGAACCATTGTCCGTTAATTACGTGTTTCAATAATATTTACATAATTAGAGAAGTATTGATAATATATTTCTATAGACGTTTAGTCACTCAATTACAGTTATTCACATGAGTCATAAATCATAATGCACTCGTAAATTGAAATTTTTTTTTCTCATACAGTTAACAAGAAATGTTATCTTATATTAATATAGTTTATAAGGTACAAAATATTTCAATCATGATTGAAGATCTTTAATTGTGATTTAAAATTAAGATACAGAAAAAAAATTTCAAAACCCTCATTTCAAAATTGCAATGAATACACTTACAAAAGCTTGTTCAATCAACTTTTTTTTATCAAAAATAAATAAATATACAATTTACAATCTGTAAAATTGAAAATATAAAAACAACTGGATGGCCTAAATGAAAGGAGTGGGGGGGGGATATTTAGTTGCACACTTCAACTTGAATTAGTTAGATTAGGAGATGTATAAACATTTTCAATTGTCTAGAAGGTTGCTCATGTGGTCATTTTTGTTTTATTTATTGTATAAAATGTACAATGGTTAGAATTAATACTGAACTAGTATTAAGTTCAAAGGATTAATCTTAAAAAATATATTGTTAACTATCTCAGTGGCTGCAGCTGAGAGACAGTCAGTTGTGCTGCCCATGAACATGTAATAGGCTAAGCACGCTCAGGAGGGGGGGATTTAGGTCTGCTCACTCCTATGGTAATAGGTGCTGTCTATGATTATATTATGCAATATATTGTACTTAATAAGGATATACTATTATGGTTGAGTGGTCACAAGTCAATAATAGTATTTATGACATATCTAATACTGCCTTCATAAGCTAAAATTCCCCAGTTCCTTTCAAACATTTTACTTTTTGTACTTAGAATTTACTTTACATAACAAATCATACATTTTACTTTTTAAAGAATGATATTATAATATATAACATTATGTTTTCCTGAATTTGCATAACAAATGTAATGAAGGGGCCTGCATTTGTGTCTAATAAGGGGTAATATTTCAGCAATATGTAATTTAGTTGCTGACACCCATGGAATTTGTGTTAGTCAATGCCCACAGGCAAATGCATTTGAAGAATCAAAAAAAAAAGGTGTTTAAAAATGTACATTAGGATACACACTGAAGACTGCAGTCTACAATCCAAAAATAATTTAACCAAAAATGCTATTCAAAATAATTACCTAGGTCATTGAGCAATGATTATTTTGAGTTCACCAGCTGGTTATCAAGATTTAAAAAATGTATATAAAAAACGAACTAAAATTAAATTAAAGAAAAATAGGAAAAGGAAGCAAGAAGGCCAAAAGGCAAATTGCATTTTAAGAATCAAAACAATTTTTTTTTTTAATGTATACAAGAAAAAATTAATTTGGATTAAATTCAAAAAATAAATGGTTAGAAGGATTTGGCACCTACAGGAATTATTGTTTTAAAGAGCAAAATGAAAAGTTAATTTTGCTGGAACTCGAGACTACATTCTACAATATCCAGATTATTTAACCTGAAAATATATTCACAATAAATTAGCTCATTAGGTAACAAATGTCTCCTTGAAGTAAAAAATGTGGGTAAAATTCAAACTTTACTCATTTTAATGAAAAAATATGATTGTTATATTTTAGATACATTAGATTTTTTAAATCAACTTTTATAATTGTTATTTGTTGTTGTTAAAAAAATCATTAATTGTTTTTGACTATTTAAGCTATTAATAATTACAAGTTGTACAGGTAGTCACAGGTACAACGCTATAGCCAACTGGCTTTAAAAAAGTCCGTTGTTAAAAATGATGATAATTAGTTAGGCTCTAATTTCCCTTGATAATATTTAAATATTTTCTTTCATTGTTATATTTATATAATATCGAATACCTTGGTAGTTAGTATTAAAAGATCACTGCAAAGCACACGACCAGTGATGATAGTCTACTATCATCATAATAGCTTCAACTAACCATATCTCATAGGTCTACTCTACTAGGTAACCTCCTTATGACTTATATAACCCTCTGTTGGTTTAGCGGAAAGGTAGTAGCGTAGCCAGAGTTAGGATATAATGAGGGGACAAGGTTTAAAACATCAACCCCCCGGGATGGCTGACGACGCCACTGGCTATATAATATCTGTATCAATCTGAATGATGGTAGAACAATAAATAGTATTGGGGTAACGCACGACTAACGGAAAGTTAACTAGACCACTTTAAATAAAATGATCCTGAGTTGGTTTCCTATTTTAGTGTTAGTTCATCAAATTGAACTTTTGATTGTTTTAAAGCAATTTGAAGCACATCATATAAGCACGATGAGACAATAGAGACTTGTTCCGCTAATATGTGCTTCAAGTTACCAGACATGGATCCATTTATAGTATGTACATTATCAAAGGTTAACACTTGAACTGAACCTAATCTAAACTTGAATGTATAATTGGATATACATTTTAAAAGTAACTAGTATTAATAATCAATCAACATGTGTCGGATCCGTCTTACAAGTGCGTATCAATTTCAGCAGATCTTATTTAGCAATGACAGTTTTAATATTAGAGTGAGTATTGTTATTTGAAAATAATGAAGCTTAATGATAAGTGCTGAATTAAAATTTGATACGTATCACACTTGAACATTTAGATACAAGTACCTATACAACACATGGAGTTGAAACGTCTTCTTTAAAGCAAAATTATTTTATTAATTTTTTAAGCTTTTTATGTTGTGTTTAGCAGTTTAGCTACACTACTGTCTAAACTAGTATAAAACAAAATTTTAATGTATATTAAATTTAAAAAAAAACTGGTTAGTGGATGTCACTCTGCTGAACATTAAGTGTCTAATAGATCGCTGTAATGGATAGTATTAAATTTGAATTCAATGATATCAAATCATTGTATACGAAAAACGATTCTGAGCGGAGACAGTATGTCAGTTTAGAATATTTTATATTGTCAAAATACTAAGTTTAAACGCTCATAAAAAATAATTGTGGATTTACCCTCAATTTCCATTAACAACAACTTACGAGGAACCTTGTATTACATTAATAAGGTTTTTGACTAAGCGAAAATTTTTTTATCGACATTAGTTTATAAAAAACAAATAATAATTGAAAATTGTATATGACTATTAGTAGTTCAACACAAATAAAAATATTTTGAAAATTGTATGGTGTATAGAAAATGCTTAAACAAATATTCAGCGACAATTTCATGTATCTGCGGTAATTTTAGAGTTACACTCGAAAAATGGTTTTGCCTAAAAATTCCTGTTTTTCCTGTTTCTTTTGAAAACTATTTTTGGAATTGTAAATTTTGACCCTCAGAATGCACAGACTAGATTCACTTTCCTACCAGAAAAGTTTCTGTTGAAGAAAATCAAAGCACTTCTGCTACAAGAAACCGTGATGACTGATGATAGATACAAAAAAAAATTGTTCAGTGTTAAGTGTTCAGTGCAGTGTACACCCTTGTGAGTTAACAAATTTACAATCGTCCTGATCCTGAACAGGATGCACATGAGTACCTATATTCTATAATCTATCAATGAGTACATACTACATAGATATAATTTGGATAAGAGGCATAACATAGGCAACTCATCATACGAATCGTCCATAGTCGTTACTCGTTACCATAGACCAGTTTATTGGTCCATGGTCATCAACGAAGCAATCTTTATCAATGATCAGGCCCTTCCATTTTCTTTTTATTATCTATGGAAAATTGGAAAACATTAAGCAACATCGTCGTTCATTGATAATTATCAATTTAAAGTTGAAAACTTGAAACTTGTGGATGTGAACAACTCGCATATCGTCATTGTATAGAAAACTATACTTATTACTTCCTAAGGTATTGTAGTACTAAGTACTGTGAAGTGTGTTATTCAAGGACTCACGTCGGACGTGTGTTACCTTCGGTTTTTTTTTTACGAGACATCAGACTACAACACTACACAATGTCTCTATTTAGGTAAGCGAAACTTATACGTTTGTCTCTCAAAAACCTGTTGTTGTTTATTAATAGTATATACTGTAGACGCCGCTTTTAAGACTCGCGGCTTCGAGGTTTAGTTACTTATTAGGCTCAAAATCATCTGAAACGGTCTGGGCATATCCAAATACATTGAACAAAAATTTGGTTATATGACTCAAATTGTGTAAGAAATATCGTAGAAAATAAACTTTTGAGTGGGTTATTACTTATTACTGGTTTCTAATCATGATATATATTATATATAGTATATAATAAGTAATAGAAATGTTATTTTATTTCAAATTTATTGCAATTATTATTGTGTCCTTAATCCTAATGTATTGTATTTATTTAATAATTGGTATACGTAATATTATTTAATAATATGCTAAAGTAACAAAATAAAGTTAATAAGTAATAAATGAAAATTTTGTTTGTTTTATTATCATTTTGCCTATAAGACTCATTTTGTGTTAGTCCCAGTCTTATACTCGATGCCTCTGTAATATGTACCTATATTAATTAGTTTATAATTCCTCAGCGTGTTACCAGCACCTACACAATTCCATCAGGATTTGGAAGAAGATGACGAAACCAATGAAACACTTGCTGAGAAAACCAATACCTTTGAAGTGTACGCTGTCAAAATCCCACCTTATGGGAACAGAAATGGATGGGTACCAAGGACTGTTGAAGTAAATCTTAAAATATTGTTATGTAATTTTGCATTGAGATACTATTGTGTATAATGATTTCATTAATTATAAATAAGAAATAATTTATACTCAAGTAACTAATTACAGATAATTTTTAAAATCTTCCTTTCGCAACATATTAATTTTTTATAAAGCCTTCTGATGTTTCAGTGAAATTGTGTTAGCCGGAGTGTTGCACTACAATACACTTGTTATCAGCGAGCTATCAAATTTCTATACATTTTAAAATCCAATTAGATTTTTTAATGCTTAAAAAAATATATATCAACTGCTGCGACAAAGAAAATTGTAACTAAATTTTACAAAGTTTTTTTTTTAACCTGGTGTCACAGTTTTTCTGGATATCTGACAAAACCGATTTTTACTTAAATCAACTAAAGATGTTCTATTCAATAAGATTCCTTTACTGTTGCCTTCGTTGGAAATTCAGTAAAAGAGTAACAATTAATTGGAAAAAAAGCTGCATAATTGAGTTACGACTTTCTTTGATACGGCAATCTATATTATGTATGTTATATTTACACTGCAACATAGAAGAGTAATTACTGATTCAATTTGTTCAATAATTGCTTCAATTAGACAATTTTGTAAGCTTAAGGAAATGCTTTAAACTGAAGCGTTTTATTTTATTAATATCAACATATTATTTCATAATTTATGATATAAAACAGTTTAATTAATGTTAAAAAAGAATAGAGTTAAGTAGACTTAACTTTAAAAATTAATGTTTATGATCAGGGCTCGTAATTTCAAGCATTTGCACGTTTTTCTTGCATCACAGGAAAACATGCTGAGATACAAATTAGTTTCATAACAAAAGTAATAAATATGTAAAAAAAAATTTTTTTTATTATTTTTAAGCTTTGGCAACTGAGGCCATTAGCTGTAGGTTGTGGTACTGTAGGGTTTTTGGGATTGTAGGGTTATGGAACACGTGTGTTTGTTTGGTAGAATTTCTTGTGGGCACCCGTAGGTTTCTGCCATGCCCGGTTGGGGGATGGCGGCCTCTCTCCAGACATTGTGACCGCCCGGAGAGAAGTGCCGCACGTCACCGAGGTTCAAACCAATGACGGTGCGCGTTGCAACCAACGCGTTATCCGCTCAGCCAGTTTGTCCCCCATGTAAAGTTTAATAGTGTTTAATAGTTTCTGGTTGTTTTCAAAATGTGTACTCTTCCCTGATTTAGAGAATTTTTTAGAATACAATTAATGTATAGTATACTTTTGTTAAAATAACTATTTTTTTTCTGTTTAGGATTTTGGAGATGGTGGTGCTTTTCCGGAAATCCAAGTGGCTCAATACCCATTGAATATGGGAAAAGAAAATAAAGAATCTGTTTCAAATGCTCTTGCATTGCAGTTAACTTCTGATGGTAAAGTTAAATATGATGTGATTGCTCGCCAAGGTCAGAGAAAAGATAAAGTGATTTATTCAAAGCTATCTGACATGCTTCCATCTGAGGTGGTAAATGAAGATGATCCTTCTTTGCAAAAGCCTGATTCAGAAGAAGTTGCAGACATCACTGAAAAAACAAGAGCAGCGCTAGAAAAGTTAACTAATTCTAAAGTTTCCGCTGCATTACCAGTACGGGCGGCAGATAAACCTGTGAGTTACAATGTTCTGAATGTTTATGAATATATTTATTTATATTTGTATAATTTTTAATTTTAGGCTCCTGTACAATGGTTCCGTTATACCCCTACTGAACAAGGAACAGAATATAATTCTGGATCGAAACAACGTGTAGTAAGATTAGTGGAGGCTCAGAAAGATCCTATGGAACCCCCAAAATTTAAAATAAATAAAAAAATTCCACGAGGACCTCCATCACCTCCTGCGCCTTTAATGCATTCACCTACCAGAAAGACATCTGTTAAGGAACAGAAAGAATGGAAAATTCCTCCTTGTATATCCAATTGGAAAAATGCTAAAGGATATACAATTCCATTAGATAAGAGATTAGCTGCTGATGGTCGAGGCTTACAACAAAATCATATAAATGAAAAATTTGCCAAGTTAGCCGAGGCTTTATATATAGCAGATCGTAAAGCCAGAGAAGCTGTTGAAATGAGAGCTCAGTTGGAAAAGAAGATGGCACAAAAAGAAAAGGAAAAGAAAGAGGAACATCTTAGAGCAATGGCTCAAAAAGCCAGAGAAGAAAGAGCAGGTATTCGGCTTCCTGGATCCGCTAAGAATGATGAATCTCGCGAACGTGATCAATTACGTCTGGAACGTCAAAAAGACAGAGCTCGTGATCGTAACCTTGCTAGAAATGCTGACAGCCGTAAAAACAAAGTATTGCGAGATCGAGACATTAGTGAACAAATTGCTCTTGGTCTCCCAGCGATCACTAGAAAAACTGGAGATACTCAGTATGATCAACGCTTGCTTAATACAACAGCCGGTATGGATACCGGATTTGGTGATGATGAAGAATATAATGTGTATGATAAACCTTGGCGTGGAAACAGCTCTTTGGCTCAACATATTTATCGCCCATCTGCTAATATTGATAAGGAAGTATATGGTGATGATTTAGACAAAATTGCTAAAACAAATAGGTGAGTTTGGTATTATAAGGTTGCAATACCTTATTCGTATAATTATTATTATTATTTATTGAATGGTGCTCTAATCAGTCTTCTCTTAAACTGAATAATTTAAAGCTGTTTGACAGTTCAGTGAATTTTCAAAGAACATTAATTTTGTTTGTTACAAAAACTTGAGCTCTAACTATGTTGGGGGCCTTTTCCTATCTCATAAGAGGTATATTTTTAAGTTTCCTAAATTGCCTTACGCCAGAAAAATCACAGAAATTGTAAAAAAAGTTTTCTTTACAGCAAGATTTTATCTATTTTTACATGCCATTCTATAACGTACATTTTTGGTGACATGACACAAGTTTCATCAGACCCTCTGCAAAATCAGTATGTAATATTTATTCACCTCTGAACTATTTTTCACGGAAGAAAATCATTCAGAAACGTGGATCATGTAACCAAAAATATATGGAGATAAACATCGATTATGTGGAAAAATATTTTACATCCAGCAGAATTCAATAGACATAATTTAGCTTGTAATATCTATCTTTCATAAAAATATTTAATTAATTATGAATTTTGTTTTAATTTAGATTTGTACCGAACAAAGAATTTAGCGGAACTGATCGTGATCCTAAAGCTAGTGGTCGGTCTGGTCCAGTTCAGTTTGAAAAACATCAACAAGAAGAAGATCCATTTGGTTTGGATCAGTTCTTGACTCAAGCCAAGCATGCATCTAAAAGGTCTCAACCACAACAACAAGATCGTGATAAACGCCGTAGAAAAGATTAATTTTTTCCTATTTGGCTGAAAATGTTTTTTCATCCATTGCATTAGGAGCATAATTTTTTTATTTTAAAAATTAAAATTAAAATTCAGTAAAATATCATGAATTTAATTATTCTATATTTAATTAATTACAAATATTTTATCTACGTAACAATGTTGAATTCTTTAGTATAGAAATCTTTTGATTTAATCATTAAAACTTAATTCATTTCCATTTTCTATCATCAACTTTATGGTTAGATCATGTGTTGTTCCAAATATAAATAAACACATCTAAAAGTAATTTATTGAAAAATCTGGTCGGTCCCAGTTTACACGTCCCCTTGTATATTGTCATCAAATAATTAAAAACATTATCTAATATCAAACAATGTTAGGGACTGAACGTTAACTATATGGCACTCTTGTCTTGAAGATATTTGATATCACACTCTGCTTAACATTAAATATGCGTAAATAAGTTTCTTGATAGAAGTTTTTAAAAGGGAAAATTATACAAAATTCTTGAACTAAAAAAAAAAACCAAAACTTTAATAACTCATGGCTTAATTCTATTTTCAAGGAATTTATACTTTTAAAGCATTACATTATATTGACAGATATTGGTTCTACGTAGCTATGACCATAATTGTTCATGTCATCCTGTTCAAACATATTTATCAGCAATGTCTTTCCATTGTTTCTGTAAAAATGATAATGAAAATAAACAAATGAAAATAATACATTTTTTAATTTAATACCTTCTGTTCTTAAAACATTTTAAATTGGTTTGTGTATATTATATTTAACACTAATAGCAAAAACATAATTATCTTAACATTCTGTCATTTTATTTAGAATATGACGGGCCAAATTTAAGTTTGACTCGCTAACTTTTAAACTTTTAAAATTGTTAAAATATAATAGAAGGTAATTTCTAAATCTATTAGTGTTAGCTTAAGCTTCACAAAAAAAAATTAAAATTAATATTCAGTCGTACTTTAACTTAAATTTATCCTCTAGAATAACTTATTATAGGCTAGTATCCCGGGCTAAGACTATAGTAGGTTTCAGGAAAAGTAGCGCGACTGGTGGTGATATAGGTTTTAGAGCCCCTGTGTCAAAACGATCACCGGGATAAATGTAAATGCATTAAACTGTATATTGTGCATTTGTCAGAACAATATTGGAATATGACTGTCCTCAGAGATCCTAATGCAGCTATGACTTTAGTCAACTTGAAAAAATTTAACATATATTTTTTAGGTTTATCAGCTATGAGTTTAAAATCGATTGCTGCTCATTTAGACCCCTCAATTTATTTTCTTAAAATATTCAATTGTTTTCAATTTAATTATTCATTACAATAATATTGTTATTAAATAATTAATACATTTTCCTATAATCATATAGATATCAATTAGGTATTCAATATTAAATGTTTAAAATTACAACAAAATACTATTTTTAAATAACTTATAAGAATATCAATGTTGTGTCAAAAGTTTGAATTTATTATAAGGTACCTAGTTCTTTTATTTTACTGAATAACGCCTATAATAAATAAATAAAAAGTTTACAATGTTTACTTACACCACGGTTCATGCTATCATATAAGTTTTCAATGCCAATATCGAGTGTTCTTTCAAAAAACAGTGACCCAACTGCTACCACAACAAAGAAGCGGGAAGGCCTTCTCAAAATTGTTTGATAGAATACTTTTACGACTGACATTGTAATTTTCTGAAAAATAATCCAATATTATAATATTGAAACATTTTATTTTTATTTAAATAGAACTCCCTACTTAATTCATTAATATTACATATTGAACATCTTAAGTCAGAAAACAATTTCATTGATGTTGAATGTAGATACATTATAGATATAAATTTAAAAGAATAAAATAAAAATATTTCATAACACTCAAATATTTTATCAATAATTTTATCATTAAGTGTGTTTTTAATCAAATGTAATATTTTACCTAGGTACCTTAGTGGTGAATCAATTAAAAATATATTGAAAGGCTGCAAAAATTATAGAAAGTACTTACCTATTTGGGAAATGCTATTTACTGAGAATTTTCCTAGCTAGTGAAACTGACAATACATATTAATGAGTTGAATTCGGGATAATGCGTTAAATCTCCTTAACTATAAAGTATAATGTATGTCAACTTAACAACGTCCGACTTGGGCATGCCGAAATTCAACGATCACTGGAGAAATAATGGTCTAAAGACATACACACTCAAACTCTCTTTATTGGGGAACGCATAGTGAACGATACCTTGGATGTATCGTTGGTAACGAGAAGAAGCAGATACGATTAGTCGTTTCTCGGACGATGTCTATTCGAAAAATAAAAGTGACTGATTGCTTTTACCTGTTTTAGGTGATCTTGACGAAAAGATTAACTGCCGCTAATCAGTTGTGAACAAAAAGTGGACAAAATGTATAATGAACAAAAAATTTTGATGTAGATCACGATTTCAGACGTTCGGTGTTGGAGGTTGGAGCAGCTTATGCTGCTGAAGGACGTCGTGATAATAGTTATCAGCTGTGGCCTATGAGGGAAAAAGATCAATTGGGCCCGTGACAGTGTGACCTGTACCGCAATGGTGTATTATCCGATTTTGTGCCCGGTGGGAATTAAAATCGCGGGATTCGACGAAGTGCTGTTTTATCAGTAGTTACCACGGTTATCTGTAGATACCGACAACCGTCATTTTACGTTCAATGCCCGGCGAGTTTATTCATTTATTGCGCGGAAAACATAACAATGTTGTGGAAACACAACTACACCAGCGTATTGCGTTTAAACAACAATAAACATTGACCGTCGTACCAATATAACCCAACGCTCTGTGACGACTGTTTCGAGTGCCATTTAATCCCTGTTTGTGCTGCTCCGAAAGTCTGTATTTCATCGAAAAATTTGATTGTTTAACCGAATTTTTACAGTGAATAGAAGTATAATTCATCGGATCAAGTAAGCAATACTCATATTATATTTTAATAGTCAGCTTGAAGTCTGAATTTGCGACATCACCCTCACACTCTCAACTAAATCACCTGTATTCCAAATCGATGGTCTTTATCCTTTATAAATAATAATATTACGAACATTTGAACGTGAAGTATTGAGTAGGTTCTGTTTTTGCGAAAGGTATTGAGATGACTTTCCACTCCGTAACAATTATTATGAAACTTTATGGTAAGAACATTATCTGTGTTTGTATGTTGGTTTTTTTTCGATATTTCAATTTTTAAGTAAGTTATGAGCATTTTTAATTTTAGTTATATTATATACTCATAACTTACAGAAACATTGAACTATCGTAAAAATAACATCATTTAAGATAATGTTCTTACCATAAAAATTCATAATATATCGATTCACTCTCATTTTTAAACTAACAAAGTTATACATCATGTGCTGAGAGTAATTTTATTATGTTACACACTTGTAAAGGGAAGGAAAATAATTTTTGACTATTTCCAGACCACGTTATATACATATATATATTGCTTTATCATATATTTATGTGACAAAGTAAGCAAAAAGAGAGATATAACACCCTCATCCCCCTCCCTAGCAACTTCAGTTAATTGAAAGTTTCCATAACTTAACTGAGTAAAATAAAATTAAGAGAACTATAAATTTTAAACTTTTCAAAATGTTTTCTTTTAACTCAATTAAAAATTATTAAAAACTTACTCATGCTTAATTGTTAATTTTTGCTAATGAGACACATCAAAACATGGTGAGAGCTTCAAAATGGTTTCAACTCTGTCTTTTTTCAATATTGAAGTATAGGCCAAACAGTATTGATAATAAAAAAAATTATTAAAAAAACTAAACAATTTTAAATGCCTATAAAAAGCATGGTCAAAATATTTTGAAATTTTCATTGTATACCTATAGTATATAATAATTTAAGCAATTAATGTCTATGAAGTGATTCAAGTTTCTATGTTATATATTTTTTGATTTACATCAAAACCACAATTATTTTATCAAACATTCAAGCCCTTTGGTATTAAAATTAAAACTGCATCATTTTATTTAAATATAATAGTTAAATATAATAGTTAAATATAATAGTAATATATGATTTTGATAGTAGGTATAGAATAATTATTTATTTCTTATGAAGCTTTTGCAAATAACCAGGGTAACACCTACAAAAGACAAAATATCTTCAGTACCTACTTCCTTATCCAATTTCCAATACTTAAATACCTAATGCTTAAAAGTTTTGGTAAAAGACACTTTTATAAAAATTGTCTAAAACTACTATGTGTTACTTACCATGTTCTGTACCACTGCACTGAATCTAATATTTTTTTCATATTTCAGGATGCCAAAAATTAAGAAAAATGTAAATGATGAAAACAAATGCCCAAAAAAAATGAGTGTAAAAAAAAAGAGTAAACCAGTTTTCAAATTTGATATGAAAAGAATTCTAAAAGATAGACAAGCTGAGGGTGAATTTTGGAAAAAAAATGCCGAACTTGATAAAGAGATGAAAATTGTTGACGATTTGTTTCAAAAAGAAGTGAACAATACCATTAAACAAAATGAAGATAAATATCCTCTTATATTACCAACAGTTGGTTATGTTATATTTGACCCCTCTAAGTTTAATGAAAACTTTGAAAAGAATCCCGATGTAACAGGATCACATTTGCAACAATTACTTCTTATGTCAATTGAGGAAAATGAACTTAAAGCCAAAATTATTTTTAATAATCTGATGAAATCAAATTGGTCACCAGTATTTGAAGTATGTTTAAACAACATCAATTGTATCTACAATATTTATAATTAGAGACCAGATTTATATACGCTCAAAATGTTTTTATGCTTTATAATTTCATCAAAATAATCTTCTATGTGCATTAATATCTTTTTTTTGGAAAAATTTGGTTTTTCATAAAAATGTATTAAATACTAATAAAACTGTATTAAATGCAACAGTTTATAATAATTATAAGATAATTAAATTATTCCTAACATATAAAAAAATTATTCAATCAGTCATATTTAGTCATTGCAGGCCCTGCTCGTTCTTTCCATTTCTACTTCTCTCAACGCTCAATCCCTAGTCCTTCTCCTAGAATTGATTTTCCTTTGGGCCTTTTTGTCTTGATAAGGATAAAAACTGATAGAGATCAAAAATAAATGTAAAAACATAAAAATCCAGTCTCTATAAATAAATATCTTAAAAATACCGTTGTTTTTAATCACAATTATTTGTAGGATGTTCAACGTACTTTATCAAACTGGGGAGCTGATTTGAATTCATTGACTAATAGTACACTATTAAAGTGTGAAATACAAGATTGCGAGAACATGAAACGTCACAATTTTGAATTAGTAATGAATTTCATATCTTATAATATATTGAAAAATAATAAGAAATTTAGTGAAGATGAACTACTAACGTTGGCACAGTATATTGCTAAAATATCCTTGGATCGTTTTTGTGGGCAAATGATAAATGTTATAAACAAATTATTTAGTGCTTGTATTGAAACTGCATTACAAGAAGACGATGATACTTCTATAATAACATTTGCTCAAGGATTGTACTCGCAATTTAATAATAAACTACTAAAGATGGTTGTCACTTTATTCCTTCCTTTAGAAGGAAACATAATGAAAAAAGTATATACTTATTTAACATTCAAGCTTTATAAGTCACTTTTAGAAAGAACTAATAACATAAGTGCATTTCCATCTAATATTCAAGAATGGTAAGTGATTCTATTTTTAGTTATTTTAATTTAAAAAATTTTAGAAGGTATAAAATAAATTAGTTAATTATACATTTCTTTGGCAAGAAAAACTTCTAACTAAACACTAATTTATATTATACTTATCTCTATTTATTAAATAATAATATGTACACTGCTAAATAACAAATTTAGAATGCTTATATTTTTTCCAGGTTTGTTCAAGATTTGGTGGATAAAGAATTTTTCAATAGACGACCAAAAAGATTACTATACCATCTTATTCGACTTTTGGAACATGTCGTGATTGTTTTTGATTTGTACAGTGATGAAAAAAAACTTAGTGAAATGTATGACTTTTTAAATGCCTTGGCAAAACCAACCGGAATATCAGATTCACTGAAACTCGTTAATATATTGGATCAATGGAGGTTGGGATTATTCCGCTTACATGTAAATCGTAATAATGTTTTATTCTGATAATCTCATAATATTATTCCTAAGTACAATAACATATTCAAGAGTCATGATTAATGTTTATTGTACATCCGTTATACATTATTTTCATTTGTATTTGCATTATTTATTTATATTATTAATGTTTTATTTTATATCGAGGAAGGTATTTGTCATATTTATTTGAATTGTTAAACGTAGTTCCAAAGTCAACTGTAATAATGTAAAAGTAGATGTATGACTGCTCACATATATTATATTATAATGTTATTATTAACCAAATGAATTATTATATGTTTGTAAATTATTTAGTATTGTCATTCTTAGTCATAATGAAATTTAATATGTTAAAAAATTTTTGATAACATAATATTGTTTGAATTCCTTTATAAAACTAAGTACAAATTATGTTATACTAGAAGATTTTTGTGGATATACAGCTCCAATGAGCGTATGAATATATGCATTTTGTGCTTTTTTACAGTGGGCAAACTATATCAAGAATCAAATAAAACAAACTAGTACTGAACATGTATGCAAAAAAGAAATCATACCAAAATCACTCAGCACAGAATATAAAAGATATAATGTAAATAATATATTATGTGAGTTTAACTGATTTACTGCAATAAAATTAATTCTATAGCTTATTTACTAAATTTGTACATAATCAATTTAAATTATACATTAACATGTTTACATTACTACCAACAATGAGACCATTCTATATGCTGATTATTTATCTCGTGGTGGTTTATCAACGACTACTCCACCATAAAATCGTACATAACTTTTTGACAATGTCTCAATAGTCCAAGTATTGGTGTCGGGGTTGAAAACTTCCATAGTATCCATAAAGGGTTCTTCTATTTCTCCTCCAATAACATACAATAAACCATCTAATACAGCTACTCCTATAAAAAAAATGTTATTAAAATTCAATACATTTTTACAAAGACAATCCTAAAAAATTAAACTATTAGTCACCTGGGCAAAATCGGGAAAAATGCATATCGGCAATAGAAGACCATACTCCATCACAAGGTCTATAAACCTCAGCACTTTTCAGATCCTTAACTCCATTGTAGCCGCCAATAGCATAAATAACACCATCCAATACTCCTACACCAACACCTTGGCGACCAATAGACATTTCTGCACTTGATGTCCATGTGTCAAGTGTGGGATCATAATATTCCACAGATTTCAAACAACATTTACTATCAGAACCTCCGACCTACACAAATTAATGAAATGATGTGTATTACAAATTACAAATTAACAAAAATAATATAAGTCACCGCGTATAAACAATTATTGAGAACACCAACACCAAGATCAAATCTCTTAGTAGACATACTAGACACCATTCGCCATTTTTGAATACTGACATCAAATATCTCTACACTATTTAATACAATGTCACCGTCTTCTCCGCCAACCTAGATATTAATAACAAAATATTATTAATTTAAAACATAAAATAAGTAATATAATAACAACGTACAGCATAAATGCAATCGTCCAACACACCAACTCCTAATCTTTTTCGACTAACTAACATGTCGACCATTGGACACCAAGAAGGTGATAGTGAAGATACATCAAGCATACTAACAGATTTTGAACTTAAACTATTTATCCCTCCTATAACAAACACAAATTGATCTCCAATTACACCAAGACCAGCATCCCAGCGACAACCATTCAACTCTGGTGCAATCTCTTGTAGTTTAGTCGATGGGTCATACCAATGTGTACAACACTTATTGAATGTCTCAGACCGATTGAACATTAGAATAACCTGACATAATTAAATTAACAAAATAATTGAGAAGATAAATCAATCATAACAAAATCATACTTTTTGAGAACAACCAAACTGTCTAGGCTTACACCTAATTGTTTTTGGAATGGTGAAATGCTGAACTGATTTTTGTAGATTAAATTGTAATGCGTCAAATACATAATCTTTACCTAAAAGCATTACTGTAACAATTAATAAAATACATAAATGCAAACAATGGCATATTTATGAAAATAACATACATTTAGGACTGTTATTTAGAAGAGTTTCTTCAGATATTTTAAACAATACATCAGGCTCTAATAATGGCAAACGCACATGTTCCATTAATTCTGCCAAAAAATCTCTTCTCTGATCCAAATCATGAGTTACCCATTTAATAACACATTCAAATACCTACAATAACAAATATTTAAAACTAAATTAAAATACATTAATTTGTTAAATCAACAATTAGTGTATAACCCTGTATCACAGGGTCCCATAAATATAATAGATCTTCAAGATTTTGGTTGCCTTCTTTTTAAAGAAAGCAAAGGAAGATTAATTACAACTATTTTTATGGAACTAAATTATTTTTAATAATTGTTAAAACCTTATAGGTGGCTTAAATAAACGTTAATGATTGTTCTCAAATACACATAATAAAAATGTGTAGTAAAAAGATTATGTGCAGCATCTCAAGAATTTTTTGGGCTAATTATTCATTGGCCTGTAAGCCACAGAGTTGTAAGTTACAGCCGGGACCAAAAGGAAGAATTGCAAACATTTTCAAAATATACTAATTCTTTTTGAGCTTTATAGACATCTAAAACTAGACATTATTTCTCTAGTCGTCAAAAAAGCTATAGGAATTTTAGTTGTTTTATTGCCATATAAAAACTATTATCCATGGGTGCTGGGAACTTTCAAAGTTTATTTTTATATTGTATACTCACAACGATATTTTGAAATACAATTTTTTATCACAGATATGTAATGGGCTTATATATTATAGATTGTTAACGTTGAAGAACTTGTGAAGACGACTTCAAATTTTTGTTCTATGAGCTCGTTGAATATACACTGTTCAATAATATTTACAGGAAGGTTTTCAGAGAATTATTGATAACTGTATATTTTCGGGAAGTTGCAAAGTGTGATAGTCGATTTTGGATTCGTCTAAATATTTTGTTGTGGCTCTGTAGTCGTCGACTGAGCACAGGTTCAATTTTAAGGCAGATTTTGTGTTGATGATCGAGTAATCGTCGATTGTTTTATTGTCTAGTGACTCATGGAATTTTACGTAATCCGAAATATTGTGGGGGCGTATGTTGGTGGAATTTTGGGTCTAGCCTGTGTACCTTGGGAATTGTTTTCAGGACCACTGTTGTTTGTTAAACTTGTGGGTGGATTAGCTTGATTAGAGTCCTCGATTTCTAATGGCGAGAAGCGATTTTGTCTGGGAAAGAAAGATGAGCTTGCAGGTGTAAGTCGCGAGCCCTAGCGGTTTTTCTTGACGATCTAAATTCGTCGTCGGAATTTGGAGATGGGGAGTTTGAGTCATCTTGATTTGATAGGCGTCTGTTTTTTTTTATGACGAGAGGCGGGACTTTTTGTCTATTTTGTTTATTTAATTGATCTAAACAACCATTAATTATTGGTATAGACGCTTTTGAATTTGGACCCATTTTTGGATATATTGTATATAAATTTTTAACGGGCTTTCGCCAGTGTGTGGCGAAAGCTATGCGGTTACGTGTTAGCGTACTATAAACCAAATTAAAATGTTACTATACATACCAAATAAGAACGTCGCAGCGTAAGCGTTTCGTACTGCTATCGAAAGCTATAAAAACGTAACGCGGATTTAACGTGTGCACGGTACGGCGTATTTTGAAGTCACATCAGTTACACGTCTTCAGAACAAATTTTAAAATCCGTTACCTATTGTAGCCGTACTATTGTCGAAACCGTCCACACTACCTAAACAGACTCTTACACTGTGTATAGAAGTCGTCGAACCAAGAAGACCATCAAAGGACATCCCGCAATGCGCAAACTGCCAACGCTTCGCACACACGAACAAATTTTGCCATCTACCACCTAGGTGCGTAAAATGCACAGGTAACCGCATCATTATAGCCTTTGCCAAAAATCTAACGATACGCCGCCCAAATGTGTCAACTGTAAAAGTAATCACCCGGCAAGTTACAAAGGTTCAAGGTTGTACTTATTACAAAGATATCTCAAAAAATAAAATAAAAAAAACGATGATAAAAATACATCTCTATTACCGCAGAGCAATTTCCAAGCCGAACTAAGTCGTGTACACGTCAAATAAACTGCAAGATAAAGCGTTCGCCGATTAGCGTTCGTATATGCTTCCGCAACGAAAAACAAATAACCAATCAAACAAAAGTACAGATAATGATTTTATGAATTTACTCTTACCGTTAATTAACGCATTCGTATCGCAATTACTGTAGAAAATAATTGTAAATCTGCCAACCATCATCAACAGCCTACATATAAATCCAAATGAGTTCTCGTAGTACTAACTTACTAAACTGCAGCGCCAACGGTCTGAAATCTCATAGAAACGTTCTCCTAGCCTTTCTCAACCATCACAATATCGATATCGCTTGCATGACGGAGACGCACTTTTCAAATACAGATAAACTTAAATTCCCCGGATATAAAATGTACTGGGCTGACCGTGTCACACTAATACGCAGCACGCGCTATGGGTGGAGTAGCTATCTTGGTCCGTCATCAAATTATCCAACAACAAATGCCCACACTAAAACTTTTAAGTGTATGTCTAGAAGCCGTAGCTGTGCTGATTAGACTCAATAATCGATCTGTTACTCTTGTTAGTGCTTATCAACCACCCGGCCGTCATATGCATATCTCAGACTATGAACAATTATTGAGTCTTAATAGCTCAATTAAAATAGCCAGAGATCTAAACTCCAAACATACAAATTGGGGCTGTCGTGTTATTAATCGGAACGGCCTTAATTACAATCATTTATAGCCAACACGACCTATACGGCTATACGGTATCCGCTCTAAGTGAACCTTCATACTTTCCTTCGGACGTAAATCGACTTCCCGATATATTAGACATTCTAATACTCAAATCAGACCCATTAAATTGCGTACATAAACCCTTAGCAGAACTCGACTTAGGCCATGTTTAGGTAAAAATAAAAATAAATTCATCTCCTCAAATATACGGGAAAAACGACTCATTAGTTAAAGACAAACCAGATTCGATCAAATTGTCCAACAGTGTGCATTCAAGTCTAGTAATACCTAAAACTGTTTCTACGACTCAAATTGCTGAACAAACAGCCGATCACTTCACGGAAGTCGTCACGGATACTGCGCGAGCTTGTTCAAACCCTGCATCGACAAATCCATCTAGTTTTGGTATCCTACCACCATCCTTTTCTTCACTTATTCGACGCAAGCATATTATTAGGCGCATTTAGCAAAACCAAAGAAATCCTACTGTCAAAAAAATTCTAAATAAACTCAAATAGAAGTTCAAGTGGCCCTTCAAAACTACAGAGTGTCCTAGTATAATACATTTTTGTCTAACATTCACCCTGGCGAGTCAAACTTATGGAAGAAACTAAAAAATTACTTAATCAAGAAATTAACATCATCCCTCCTCTCCACACAGACTCAAATCTCTAGTTATATCTGACATACATAAATGCAACGTGTTCTCAGATATTCTGCTCACTTTCTCGCATAACCACTCAGGTAATCTCAACAACGATTCTAAAGTTAAGCATTCACTGGAGCAACCTGATTACTCAGTTCCAAAATGTATTGGTTACGTAACTCCAAACGAAGTTAAGAAAATTATTAAGAATCTTCCTAATAAAAAAGCACCTGGTCACGACAAAATCACGAATCTCATGTTAATTACCTTCAAAAGGATTCGTCCTGCTATCTACCCTATTTAATTCACTGTTACGTCTTGGTTATTTCCCTGTTAAATGGAAAATAGCAACGATAAGTCTTATAAAGAAACCTGGTAAAGACAAGACCCATCCTGATAGCTACAGGCCTATTAGCCTTCAAACATCCTTATCGAACATTTTTGAAAGTCATATACACCAGACTCCTCGATTATTTTAATATCATGGACGCTATTCCAAAATTCCAGTTTGGTTTCAGATCCAACTACTCTACAGTTCAACAACTTCTAAGGATCACGGAACACATCAACTCTGTGCTTGAAATGCCCTGTCACACTGGCGCAATATTTATTGACATTTCAAAGGCATTTGACAAAGTGTGGCATAAAGGCCTCCTTTTTAAACTACGTAACATTAATACTCCATCATATCTTTTTAATATAATTCACTCATTCCTCTCAAATAGACAATACTCAGTCAGAATTACGACAGTGCCTCTAACCTTAAGTCTACCTCTGCTGGTGTACCTCAAGGTTCCAAACTTGGTCCTATTTTATTCAACCTATTCGTTTCCGACATCCCTCAATCACCTAGCACACAAACTGCTCTCTTCGCTGATGATACAACCATTTTCACGGAATCACGCAACATCGAAGCAATAACTACAAATCTACCCTCTCACACTGGTGTGAAAACTGGATCAAAATCAACGCCTCGAAGAGCATAGGAGGTGTTTTTAGTCTACGTCGCTATATATATTACTCCCCCACAACTAAAATTTGACAGTGAAAATATACCCTGGCAACCTACGGTTAAATACCTAGGTGTAACTCTTGACAAACGACTCACGTGGCGGCCCCACATTTCTTCCAAGGTCCAGCAAGCATACCAGCGCATCTCAATGCTTTATCCCATCCTGAACAAAAATTCAACGATACAAAAAAAATGCTCTCTCCTAATTTTTAAACAAATTATACGCCCAATTCTTACCTACGCTTGCCCGATATAGGTAGTTGTGCATCCTCGCACATCAAAAAAATGCAAATTGTCCAAAACAAAGTTCTCAGAATAATTGCAAATTCCCCATGGTTTGTCAGAAATGCAAATCTCCACAGACTTTCAAATCCAAGAAATCCAAGATTATATTAAAACATTAGCAAAAAATGTCCACCGCTCTCTTCCAAACTCATCAGGTGCAGTTCACTACAACCTTCTCACTCACCCAACTCATCGTCAATTAAAACGAGGTCGTCCCCACGACCTACGCTAAACCACCTCTCACATCCAAATCTTCACTCCTACACAAGCGCTTCTTCCAGATCATTCTACGACTTCTCTGTACTTATGGTTATACTATTGTAAATATGTAAATATTAGTATGTTATTGTAACCACAATGTTATTTCTGTATATCTTAAAATTACCAATTGTTAATATTATCCTTAGTATTTATAAAAATATTTCTAATTATCACGTTAATCCGCTAAGCTATTATCCCTAGATATAGAAAGCCTTAGGCTAGGAATGTCTTACGTTTAAAATAAAAAAAATACAAAAAGTGAAGACGACAAATTTCCCCTTTTTCTAATTAAATTTTTAAGAGCATATTTTGTAGTATTTTACAGTAGTTGACAAACATATTTTGATGAGTTTTTATGCATACAAATATGTTTCCAAATTATAACATATCCATTACAGCGATCCCTTTAGACATCTGCTATACATCAGAATTATTATGAATTTCAGTGTTGACTTTTCTTTTAACATCTATTGAAACAGTAGTAGCAGGAGAGGCTCGGTCGTACGCCCAATCTGCGGCAACGCTCTAAGCGTACGTACCGACCGTCGTTGCTAACACTCCGATGGATTACTACTCGGGTTTATAGCAACACATCCTTGCCACACATACAAATACGTGTTTCAAATCAACAGTTACTCCCTACAAACAACTAATGGCAATAGTTTCTGGGCTTTAGTAGTAGTCAATATAAAAAAAAATAATAATAATATAAAGTATAAATGTATTATGTTAGCTTTTTGTGTTAAGTTGATTTTCCATACAACAATTACTAATTGCAGTTTGCTTACTTTTTCTTCAAGTGGGACAAACAGATCATTACAGGAGATAAGCTTAAGTACATCTTCAGAAGATAAAGATAGGAACTCATCACTTTTAACCACTTCTCTGAAAATAATTGTCATTATATATCATACATAATTTATTACTGAAAAATATAGAGAATGAAGTTAATTATATCATACAAAAAGTGTTTTTTAATGTATACTTCAGAGCTCGACAACAATTCCGTACAGTTGTGTAAGTCGGCAAACGCTTTGGTACCAAGACAATTTGATGCATATAGTTGTTTTTTCAAAAATTCAGCACATGCATTACTTACAAAATCTATCTGTAAGATGTTGGCAGCTGGCAACAAAGCCTTGAAAATCAACAACAATACAATGAAAAAAATTTCGTATTAGTGTATAACAAATCAAATGTTTAATTATACCTGTGCATTTTCTTTTGTGACTATAATTTCACCCGAGTAAATATAATCTAATAATAGTTGTAAGACAGGGGAATCTATTTTTTTTATACTAACGGTGTTTTTGCCGGGTTTTCCAATTTTCCACAATTCTATAAAATTTGAAAACTATATTTTATATTTTAGTTGCTACCTTAGTTATACATTTATTATATATTTTTTCAATTGTCTAGGTACTGCCCGATATCTTTTTTAGGGGGATAATACGATACATTGTATCTACAACAACTTTTTTAAGAAAAACTCTCAACCCTCGTTGATTTTAATGATTTTATACCAAAGATAAGACCTTAATTCAGGTTGGATTAAAGCCTGAATTTTCGTCTTACTTTGATAGTGCTAAAAAATACGTTTGGAAAATAACAAATATTGTGAATTATTCAAATATATATTAAACCTTATATAAATAATATAATCTTGAAAATCGGGCTTTGATCCGACCTGGACAATTTTCTTTATTTTTAAATAAATAAGAAATAAATTAAAGATATTTTACAGGCCGTGAGAGTTTTTCCTGTAAGACATGTTTTTGTATTAAAAATGCGACGAATCCAATGCCCTTAACAATAGGTATCTTTAATGCTTTTTTTCAAAATAATTACCGAACATTGAACCGAAATATGAACTAGATGCCATTAAAACATTTTTATGACCAAACGTTACACATCCATCATCTGTTTCAAATCTAATATCACATAAAACTTCATTTCTAAAAACAAAAATGTATTACTAATATTTATTTTTAAAAGAGTTAAAATCACCTTAAACCTACTTGCGTAGAGATTGTAAATCTTTTAGTATTCTGACAGAGTGAGAGTTATTTCTAAAATGTGTTGTATCGCATTCATCTGATTTCAGAACTTGCTTTATATCACTTTCACTCGATGAAGTTTGTAAGGCATCCATTTCTTTTACTGACATCACACCTTTGAAAATATTTTAAAAATTGTGATAAATTTTCTATCATCATTAAAATGTAATGCTACTTTTTAGTAAAGAAGCTGTAAAACCCAACAATGGACTGGCGTGCTGCTGTTAAAAAATTACTAATTTATTATAAATAATAAGGAACTATTGATGTTTTTTGTTCCTAGATTGTAGATTGTATGCATTATGCCAGAAGTGTATTTTAATTTTTGGCTTTGAAACATTTACATGCCATTTTAAAATTATAAGCCGTAAACTATATTATATAGGTACCTTGTACCAGTTGTGCCTACGTACGTCCCACTTCTTCTATTTAGTTTATGAATATATATATATCTGTTGTATTAGTTAGGTTATGAAAACAAAAATAAAAACAAGGAATTGTTTTTATAATTAATTGTTTAGTGCTTTTATAATATTTGTGGTGTCAAAGCAAACATTTGTTTAAATAATAAAAAAAAATTGCAATATATTGATCCTACATTAGATTAAAAATACATAAAGGCACTTTTATTAGTTTTATTTAATTTTTATCAAAACAAGGGAGTTTTTCAAAAAATAAGTATCTATGATTGCCTTTCTCGAAAAATGTACTACAACTTTATTATTTGTAGCTTCACATCATGATCGTAGTATTATTTAGAGATGTGGAATATTGTTATTGTTATTAAAATGTTATGATGTGTCCAGATTTGTCATTAATATGAGATAATGTATGCTCGACTACGGTCGAACTTCTAGACACATCGTAATTATTATTGAATTAAAATAAATGTATTGAATATTTATTTTCTTATTTATTTATTGAAGATTGTAGTTATGAATTCAAAACCGTGTAATAATGGACAATAAAATCATACTGCTAGACAATATAGACTATAGTTATGGTATTGACATATTATGGGTCTATTGGCTATTGTTGGTTGATATAACCGATGAGTTACCAAATTACCTACCTATAAAACGCTAAAAATTTAAATATAAATTAAAACTAATTTAAATTTTAAAATACCTTCCTATCTGATGTGGAATCTCGAAAAGTGCACACTGACTTCAGTACAAACAGTGACGATATGCCGTGCACATCTGTGCCTCGGGGTAAGATTGAATACATTACATATACTTGCTGCTTATAGCTAGACCGTATAAAAGGTAGACAAAAATATTAAGTACACGTATTTTTTTTTTTTTCATATATCCACCTTGGTATTTAATATTTATTATAATATGTTATCTACTTATCTTGTTTACGTATTAAGATATTCTCGAACCTATTTTTTCGAGTACCACTTAATACTCATGTATACTGTATATAAAACTATGACATACTAATGTAGGTACCATTTTATTAATGACTAAAAATTGAACTAGTCAAAATTTTATAATTAAGTGTGAAAATAACAATTTAGTCGCATTCAACTATAAATAACAGAAAATAGATATTTAAACATATATATTATATTAAATACAAATATAATGTATATATAACGATGTACCTATGTAATATGTCATGTAGTATCATCAGTAAAAATAGTTAATTATTTACAATTAAAAAAATTACCATCATTTACTCATTTCACATTTGTCTTGGGGGTGACATATCACCCTTGCACCCCCCAATGGGCGCCATAGCATATAGGTGTATCGCGATTTGATTGTCTCAGTTTTAGAGTACCTCTGGACTCTGGTCACGGACAAATCAACATCTGTGTACCTAGCTTTATGAAATAATTCTACCTAGGTGAGCAACCACAAGTCGCGGGTTGGATTTAGCACTTAGTATATATATATATTTAACGTGGTTTAAACTACTTACTCTCTAAACTTTTCTGACATCTCAAAAATTGTTTTATTACAAATTCAAGACAGCCCGCTTGTCTTGGAGTTTAAGTTCAAATCCACAATAAGCGTGAGATAAGGTGTACACGTAGTATAAGGTTAGGTTAAGTTAGTTTACCTTTTCGCGGAAGTAATGCGAAAGCAGTCCCCGCGGCGCCGTCGGTTCAAACAGAAAAAAAAAAGTTAGTTTACCTTACACTATGGGAGCACTCACATTTTTGTTTATTACATATCAATTTATTAATGTATTCTTACTATAGTTACAAAAATGGATAAATCACCGAAAAATACTGTAAAATAATTACGAATACCTGAAAAAAGTACTAAGGAGGATCTATCCCTCCACCAATCACTCCATAAATACACCGCTTCAAAATATAACATACTAACATCGCTTAATTTACTTAATAATTTACCAAAGTGCTTTTTTGCTCGGATATTATTTTCCTATAAACGTGCATAACGTTATTACGCGATGTTATATGAATCGTATACGAACATTTTGTACATCGAAACATTAGAAAATGGAACAACGCTATTATCTAGCCAGTGAGTTCCGTACTTGAGTACTTCCACGTAACATTATAACATAAACACCTAACATTTGATTCGTATTTATATAGGTAATAGGTATTATGTGTGCACAGCGAAACTTTCCTTAGACTGCCAGACTGTTGTCCATTTGTCAAGGCTGGGATCAAAGTATTCGGCAGATTTCAACCCTAATAAACTATTCAAACTTCTCTCCCTATAATTATAATAAATGAGGCATTGCGCGCAATGTCAGCAATCTCCACATTCTTTGAAATAAATGTTTTGAAAACATTCTTATTATATTTTTCACTTGACTGCTAACACCGATTTTTATCACAGATACTCCATCAAGCACGCTGTAGGTAAGACACACAGGTTACTCAACGCTGTATAGAAATTTGTCTCCGGATTGATGCTCGCTGTTTATCCCCAAAAATCAGCTGTTCACTATAGGAAGAACTTTAACTCTGACCAGCAATCCATCACTTACGCATCCACCCGCGTCACCCCGCCCTCAAAACCAGTTCACCTATGGTAGGGTGTCGCATGAGGGAACCAGATTTTGTCGGTAAGCGTTCTCCCGCTGCAGTACAGAGTATAGATCATATACTTTGTGTATAGGAAGAAGTACAGCCACAGACTATATAGTCTGTGGTACAGCTAACACTCTCAGTATACATAATTATAAAAACATCGAAATAAAAAAAATATATCTAAAAATGTGAATTGCTTGACTATATTAATTTCCACTTGGGCGCTAGTTGCGCTTCTCGCAGGCCTTAATCAAGGATAATCATTGTGCATCAAAAATAATGTTACTTTAAGTAACCTGTATATCCTAAATCGTGCTATTAACTAAAGGTTCACTAATTGTTATTAGGATTCTCGTCTCAGCGTCTATCCAGATCACCGCCTCCACGGCTAAATAAGCATAAGTATATGCACTTACAATAACCAAAATGTGCAACTGAATATTTTTTGAATGGAAATTTAAAAAAATTGATTTTTTCATTTTAATTTGGACAATTTTATAATTTGTAATTTTTTGACAACAATAACACTATAAACAATAAGTCGATAACCGATAGTATAGCTACGCAGGAACAATTAGGTATTTCCCTGCGTATAGTTGCCAAATCCAGCGTATAATGTTCTTAATTATTATCTCATCTTCATTAGGTAATTAACTGAGTTATACGGAGAAACAATTAGGTACCGCCAATAGGGGTGACTTGAAACGATTTTGGCACACTTCTTGGTATTCTGAGCTTAAAAAAAATTGCACTGAACTACAAATAATATATAAATGTGTGTATACGTCTCATGAATGACATAAGACCTTTGATTTAGTTTTTAACCAAAATTGGACTTTAAAAAAAAATAAAAAGTACGTGTTACAAGTCACCTCAATTTTTGGACGACTTGTTGTAGCTGTTTGGAAATGTTATTGTAAATTAAATTCAAGCACGTTAAAGTTAACTTGTATTAAAATATATCTTTTAAAAAATAACACTAATAATACATATTAAATTATTAAATTAATAAAAAAAATAGGCAATTGGATGTCGCTCTACTGCACATTGGGTGTCTAGGAGGTCGCTGTAATGGATGGTATTAAATTTGAATTATATTTAATGATTTTATATTTTTATCATTTAATGATATCATCATCATTGTATACGAAAAACGATTCTGAGCGGAGACGGTATGTCTGCAGTCTATGATATTTTATATTGTTAATTGTTATTACTTATTATTAATATGGTAGCTAGTAAGTTCAATTAATATTATTCTTAAATTATCAGTGATACTGGAAAAATATTAAATATAATTATGTAAAATTGGACTGTTTTAGAACCGAATTACAACAAAATGATAAACGTTATTCTTTGTGTTAATATGCAAACTTATCCAAATTTTAACTGAAAATGTCTGTAAAAAAAAACTGTATTCATAATATATTCTTTAGATTTTTTTAGTAACGGAAAAAACTGCTTAAGTGGAACCTTGTTTTAAATTTTCAATCTTTGGCTATACAAATTGAAAATTGCATACATTTATAACTACCAAATCATTTTCAAATTTCAATTTGATAAATATTGTCAACATTTTAACTTTAGATGCTTATATGAATAATCGTGTCTATGTATTTTATATTTTTCAATTGCTATTGTAATAAGTTATCTAATGTCTTGTATTAAATTTTCATGATTTTTGACAAAACGTCAAAACCAATAACATTTTATTGACATTTATAGAAAACGAATAAAAAAACAATGAAAATTGAAAATGTCCGTAAACAGCTTAAAACGAGTCAAAATATTTTGAAAATGTTATCAAGTATATGAATTGATGAAATAATCATTTGGTCTAAATTTCAAGTGTCTACAGTAATTCGTTTTTGAATTACAACAAAATAGGAAAATCGCTATAGAGTTTCAAACGTACCAGGGGCCCTTGGTTACCAACCTTAAGGCAATTGATTGAAAAGTCTGAATTGGCCTGATGTTCGAGGGCTTGGCTGGGCCCCAGATTGCTATTCCATAAGACCAGACTAGTCTTATGATTGACTTATATATAATAAGTTTGTTTTGAACTTGAGAAGTGGCCGGATGAGGTGAAGTCTATTGTTCGCTGATTCTTCTAATTCATACCTATCAGTAAATTGTTGTTTATTTTTATTATTTCAATAATATTATAGTATTACTGTACTGTGTACACCGCAAAACCGCGGAACTCGTCAAACCCGTAATGCACCCGCGTGGCCACGTGCCTCTTTTATAACTCGTACGTTTCGGATAGTTTTATTATATTATGTTATCTATATGTGTGATTGAACTATTTATATATGGTCATATTACTTGTCATTTGACATCATGATTAAAGATAATATACCTAAAATTATGTACGTCATATTATTTAATCGTGCTTGTCAATCACCGTGAGCGCGCGCTGCTGGATCCGCCGTCGACATTCGACATTTCAACGCACGCCAAGAATCGCTGCTCCTACACCGACAACGCTACCGCGATATACCACGTGACACCCGAACACGAGACGAGGTAAGAAATTTGACAAAATTCGTCAGAATCAAAGATATTTGCCAATTATTTTGAGTTTTTACGTATAGGCACACGTGTCATATGCTACCAACAAAAAATGACTGCTTGAGTCGCAAGCTATCTGCGTAAAAAAATGCACTCCATACAAAATGTCTTTTATGTCCCTTGAAAAGCTTTCAATGACATTGGCCGGATACTTTATAGAATGAACTCCTCCCTTTTTTCTGTGATGAATTGCCCTTCGAATAGGTTTTTTTCTCCAAGTGAACTTGTTCAACATTTTATGCGTTCGAGCATTATGCACCTTTATGTGGATGTAGATTAATGAAGATCTAGGTATGGTTATTGACAACGGTCGTGAAGCTACTGGTTTATTAGTCCGATAACGCTAAATCTACTACACCAACAAAAGTCAATATCGCCTCTTTTTTTTGTTATGTAGTGCACTGCTTATTCTGAAGCAATTGCTTAAATGTAGCTCGGTACTTTTATGCTAAATTTATTTAAATGGTCTAATTGAAAATTGGTTATAGTTTATAATTTGTAAAATGATTTGAAGTTTGGTCACTCTCGACAGGATTAAACCTGAAAAATTCATTATCTTTATAACGTAAATAAATAAATATTAAAGCTATCATTCTATTTTAACTGTCGCCAAATAGGTAGAACTGGTTGAAGGTAATAACAAAATAAAGTTAGTTTTTGCTATGCTAACCAAAAATGACTAGTGCTCATGAAAATAATCTAAAGCAAGTTCTGAAATCAAATGAATGTGAACCAACAAATTTTAGAAATAACTGTCACTCTTTCGTAATACTAGAAAACTTAAAATCTTTACGCAAGTATGTTGACGATGATTTTACCTTCATTCAAAATAAAAAAACAGTAACACATTTTTGTTTTTAGAAATGAAGTTGTATGTGATGTTAGATTTAAAACAGATGATGGAAAAATTGTAATTGGTCATAAAAATGTTTTAATAGCGGCTAGTCCATATTTCCGTGCAATGTTTTGTAATTTTGATGAGAGCAATGAAGATCTTGTTAAAATAAGAGAATTAGATTCCACCATATTACAACTATTAGTGGATTATATTTATACTAGAGAAATTATGGTGACAAAAGAAAATGTACAGGTATAATAAAATATTTGATTTAATATAGACTTCACATGGCTTAATGTGAAGTATTGTTGATTTCTAAGGTGTTGTTAACAGCTGCAAACATCTTACAGTTAGATTTTGTAAGTGATGCATGTGTTGAGTTTTTACAAAATCATTTGGATGCATCAAATTGTCTTGGTATCAGAGCTTTAGCAGACTTACATAATTGTACGGAATTGTTGTCGAGTTGTGAAGCATACATTAAACAACACTTTTTGTATGGTAAACATAACTTAATTCTCTCAGCAATTAATTATAAAGATAATGATTAAAACTTTCAGAGAAGTGGTTAAAGGTGAAGATTTTCAATCTGTATCTTCTGAAGATTTGGTAAAGCTTATTTCCTGCAATAACCTTGAGGTTCCATCTGAAGAAAAAGTTAGTAAACTTCAATGGATACCTAATTTATATTTTAATATTTTGTATTGAAAATTAACTTGAAAGTTGGACAAGTGGGTAATGCTCTGCTGTACAGCGGGTGTCTAAAGGGATCACTGAAATGAATATGTTATAATTTAGAAACATATTTTTATGCACAAAAACTCATCAAAATATGTTTATTAACTACTATAAAATGCTACAAAATATGCACTTAAAAATTTAATTAAAAAAGGGTAATTTATCGTCTTCACTAAGTTCTTCAACATTAACAATCTTTATCTACAATCTATAAAATATTAGCCTATTTCACATGTGTGAAAAAAAAAATTGTATTTCAAAATATCATTGTGAGTGTACAATATAAAAATAAACTTTGAAAGTTCCAAGTACCCATGGATAAAAGTTTTTATGTGGCAATAAAATAACTAAAATTCCTATAGCTTTTTTGATGACTAGAGAAAAAATGTCTTGTTTTAAATGTCTATAAAGCTCAAAAAGAATCAGTATATTTTGAAAAAGTTTGCAATTCTTCCTTTTGGTCCCGGCTGTAACTTACAACTCTATGGCCTACAGGCCAATGAATTAGCCCAAAAAATTCTTGAGATGCTGCACATGATCTTTTTACTATGTGTATTTGAAAACAATCATTAATGTTTATTTAGGCCACCTATAAGGTTTTAACAATTATAAAAAATATTTTGGTATTATAAGTACGTATATGGACACTCATTAAAGCATTGAAAGGCAACCAAAATCTTGAAGATCTATTATATTTATGAGACCCTGTGATACAGGGTTATACACTAATTGTTGATTTAACAATTTTAATTTAGTTTTAAATATTTGTTATTGTAGGTATTTGAATGTGTTATTAAATGGGTAACTCATGATTTGGATCAGAGAAGAGATTTTTTGGCAGAATTAATGGAACATGTGCGTTTGCCATTATTAGAGCCTGATGTATTGTT